TACACAGCAAAGAAGTTTATGGTTGCCATATTTGAAACGATTCTTGAATACCCCAAGGGAACGAAACTGATGCCAGTACTTGATACATGTGAAGCAAGATTAACAGTTTTCCCGATACACACAAAGCACAATAACCAGTTTTTCATTGGTTCTGAAGTGGATGTACCTTGCAGGGGATTAGGGACCTTAAGCCCTATAGACCCCCAAGTTCTCTGGTTAAGAAGAAAATTGATGAGGACATTGACGATGCTTCCTCCTTGTTCTTGGAGAGGCGGAAGAATTCTTTGCTGGGGTGAACTGGAAGGTAACTCACATGGCCAAGTGTGGCACATGGCACCCCCATTTTTTTCTTTTGTTTGTCATGGATGTTTTTACATTGTTTAGAGAACAGGATAGAATTTGCACATATGTTTATATTTTCTTTGTATGTTTTGTTATGTTGGATGAATTCTTAAGGTTTGTTTTTCTTTGGTTTGCCTGATTTAAGGTAGAGGGAACTGTGAGGTACAGATGGCCAGATTAGGTTGAGGGAAACTGCAATTGGATATTGATTTCAGATATACCATGTGAATTCAGTACATTCAGAACCCTTTGTTTATTTAAGGTCTACCATTAATTGACAGAATATTATAAAGCGAGGAAAAGAGAAATTTAAATCAGTTCAAGTTTTGTTTGAACAAATATGGGAAAGTACATTTTACTTATTAGTATATTTGTGTAAGAAGAATTGCAGACAGTTTTTTGAGTACTGTTTTTCGTTGATTCTTTTGATTTGAACATAATCTAAATGGGTGGTAAGTTACATCACAAGTGCATCTATGTGATATCTATACAAGTAGTTTTGATCTTACTTTTTCCCCTACTCTGAAGAATCAAGAAAAAGAAGGAAGAAGAAAAAAATGGGCTTCATATTTTAATTAGAAGAAAACAGGATTGTTGTACAATATATGATAAGGTCCCTTGTGCTTTGGGTTATAAGTTCCCACGCCAGTCAGAGAGGATGACTACCCAACTCTACTTATTTATCCAAAGGGCCTAGTGGAGGAACAGTCATCCAAAGCTGCTTGGGAAAGTCCAACTCAGCGTTAGCCCTTGATGCCCCATTGTGGACTTTAAGGTGGTGGTTGTTGAAGTAAGAAGAAATGTGAAATCCCAGGTTATCTTATTTTGAACGTGCCTGTGCACTTTTTTTTCATTTTTCATTTATTGTTATTAGTTTTTGTGACAGTTACTGTCCTTTCCATATTTGCATATCCAGGTTTTGCATTTTTTATTGTTTTTATAAAGGAATGACTTTGCTGTTGAAATCATTATCTTGTTGTTATTTTGCACAGAGCTTTGTGGTATTGTTAGTACATTTTCTTTAATTTATAATGAAAGCACAGCATACATGTTTTGTGCCTCACTGCATGTGACACAAGTAATATGTTATTCACCTAGTAATGTTAAGTTCTATTTTCTAATAAGGAAAAAAATGATAAATTGTCATATTTGATATTTGATATAAAAATACAAAGGATATATCCCACAGAGCCTTTTCTTCTTAAGGGAGGTATATTATCTAAGCTATTTATTATACTAATTCCGTCATTCAGGGTTATTGATTAGTCTATGAAATGCATCAAACAGCATTAAAGAGGACAGTGACCCCCAGTGTGAGAGCATGGTACAATTCACATGAAGCCTCTGTGTGTATTCTGGAAGTCGTATTGAGCTACAGGAATTGTGTTCATGCTATTTGTCGAGTTAGTGCGATTATCACATATTGGGCTGACAACTGCTAAGCATTACTGGTATTGCTGCATCAGTGATTTTGAATTATTTGGATATGTATGTATGTATACAAATATGTATGTATACAAATATGTATGTATACAAATATATATGTATACAAATATATATGTATACAAATATATATGTATACAAATATATATGTATACAAATATATATGTATACAAATATATATGTATACAATATATATGTATACAAATATATGTATACAAATATATTATACAAATATATATGTATACAAATATATATGTATACAAATCTATATGTATAACAAATATATATATATATATATATATATATATATATATATATATATATATTATATATATATATATAGACCACACACACACACACACACACACACACACACACACACAACACACACCACAACACACACACACCACGACACACACACACACTCACACTCACACTCACACTCACATTCACACTCACACTCACACTCACACTCACACACTCACACACTCACACACTCACACACTCACACACTCACACACTCACACACCACTCCTCACTCACTCACCTCACTCACTCACTCACTCACACACTCACACTCACACTCACACTCAAGCTCATCACACTCACACTCACACTCCACACTCACACACACACACCACACACACACACACACACACACACACACACACACACACACACACCACACACACACACACACACACACACACAACACACACC